CCATAAGGTCCCTGGTGAGGAACCTCAAGATTCCTCGTAAGAAACTCCAAGGTCCCTGGTGAGAACTACAAGATCTCCGGTGAGGAACCTCAAAATTCCTCGTAAGAAACTCCAAGGTCCCTGGTGAGAACCACAAGATCCCCGGTGAGGAACCTCAAGATTCCTCGTAAGAAACTCCAAGGCCCCTGATGAGAACTACAAGATCCCCGGTGAGGAACCTCAAGATTCCTCGTAAGAAACTCCAAGGTCCCTGGTGAGAACCACAAGATACCCGGTGAGGAACCTCAAGATTCCTCGTAAGAAACTCCAAGGTCCCTGGTGAGAACCACAAGATACCCGGTGAGGAACCTCAAGATTCCTCGTAAGAAACTCCAAGGTCCCTGGTGAGAACCCCAAGATACCCGGTGAGGAACCTCAAGATTCCTCGTAAGAAACTCCAAGGTCCCTGGTGAGAACTACAAGATCCCCGGTGAGGAACCTCAAGATTCCTCGTAAGAAACCCCAAGGTCCCCGATGATCCCCGGTGAGAACCATAAGGTCCCTGATGAGGAACCACAAGATCCCTCATAAGAAACCCCAAGGTCCCCGATGATCCCTGGTGAGAACCACAAGGTCCCTGGTGAGGAACCTCAAGATTCCTCATAAGAAACTCCAAGGTCCCTGGTGAGAACCACAAGATCCCCGGTGAGGAACCACAAGATTCCTCGTAAGAAACTCCAAGGTCCCTGGTGAGAACCACAAGATCCCCGGTGAGGAACCACAAGATCCCTCATAAGAAACCCCCAAGGTCCCCGGTGATCCCCGGTGACAACCACAAGGTCCCCGGCGAGGAACCGGGTGAGGAACCTCAACCGGACTGAGGCACCCCATACAACCCGTTGTAGGCCAGGACGAGGCCCTGCAGACCGCAATCCACACTTTGATGACCCCCCCTCGGCTGGACTGCTACCGCTCTCTCTGTCTCTGGGGCTGCCCTTGGAGATGACTCCCCCCCCAAAGGAGAACCCGCCCAGCCTTTGGAAGCGGTTGTGCGGTTTTGTCCCACACAACGGCCGACTGTGTCCTCCGAAAGGCCGTCCGGGCGTAAACGTCACGACGGGCAGCTGCGGACCAGGGGAACATCGGCCTGCCGGCTCCGGTGCCTTAAGCGAGGGGGGGGGTCTTATTGGTATCTGACTGCAGGGGTCACCCCCCCCCGGCGGGGGTAGCTTGGGGGGGTGACTTTAGGCCAGTCCCTCCCTCCCTCTCTCTCTCTCTCTCTCTTTCAGACCAAGCCACCTCGCAAGGTTGTTGTTGAGGGGAAAGCAGGAGGAGGAAGGAGAAGGAGGGATGAAAGAAGAGAGAAAGGGAGGGAGGGAGGGGAGAAAGGGAGGGGAGGGAGGGAGGCTGCAAGGAAACAGGGGAGGGAGGGAGGGAAAAAGGAAGGAAGGAAGCGAGGGAGGGAGGGAGGGAGGAGAGGGAGGGTGCAAGGCAGCGGAGGAGGAAGGAAGGAAGAAGGAAAGGAAGACGGTAGGAAGGAAGGGGAGGGAGGGATGGAAGGAAGGAAGGAAGGGAAGGAAGGAAGGATGGAAGGAAGGAATGAAGGAAGGAAGGAAGGAAGGAGAGGGAGCAAGGGAGGAGAAGAACGGTGCAAGGGACCGGGGAAGGAGGGAGGGAAGAAGGAGAGGGAGGGAGGGAGGGAAGGAAGGAAGGAAGGGAAGGACGGATGGAAAGAAGAAGAGAGGAGAGCAAGGGCGGAGAAATGGTGCAAGGGACCGGGGAAGGATGGAGGGAAGAAGGATAGGGAGGGAAGGAAGAAGGAATGAATAAGAAAGGAGAAGGAAGGAGAAGGAAGAGAAGGATGAATGGAATGCGAAGGAAGGAAGGAAGGAGGGAATGGAAGAAGGAGAAGGGCAAGGGAGGAGAGGATGGTGCAAGGGATCAGGGAAGGAGGGAGGGAAGAAGGAAGGGAGGGAAGAAGGAAGGAAAGGAAGAAGGAAGGAATGGAAGGAAGGAAGGAGAAGAGCAAGGGAGGAGATAGGGTGCAAGGGATCGGGGAAGGAGGGAGGGCAGAAGAGGGAGGATTAAGGAAGAAGGAAAAGAAGAAGGAAGGAAGGAGAAGGAGCAAGGCGGAAGGATGGGTGCAAGGGATCAGGGGAAGGAGGGAGGGAAGAAGGGAGGGAGGGATGGAAGAAGGAAGGAAGGAAGGAAGGAAGGAAGGAAGGAAGGAAGGAAGGAAGGAGAAGGAGCAAGGGAGGAGAGGAAGGGTGCAAGGGACCAGGGGAGGCAGGGAGGGAAGAAGGAGAGGGAGGGAAGGAAGGAAGGAAGGAAGGAAGAAGAAAAGGAAGAAGGAAGGAAGGAAGGAAGAAGAAAAGGAAGAAGGTAGGAAGGAAGGGGAGGGAGGGAGGGAGGGATGGAAGGAAGGAAGGAAGGAAGGAAGGAAAGAAGGAAGGAAGGAGAGGGAGGGAGGAGAGGCAAGGAGGGCGGGAGAGAGGGAGGGGAAAAAAGAAGGAAGCGAGGGAGGGAAGAGAGGAAGGGCACAAGGCAGCAGGGGAGGGGGGCAGGGAAGAAGGAAGGAAGGAAGGAAGGAAAGAAGGAGAGGGAAGGAGGGAAGGAAAAAAGGGAGGGAGGGCACAAGGGAGCAGGGGAGGGAGGAAGCGATGAAGGAAAGGGAGGGAGGAGAGGGAAGGAAGGAAGGAAGGAAGGAAGGAAGGAAGGAAGGAAGGAAGGAAGGAAGGAAGGAGGGGGGGTCCCTTTGGGGGGGGTGGAGCCCCTCCCCTCCCACTCACTTGCTCTTCCGCAGCTTCAGGTTCTCCGTCTTGAGCAGGTAGAGCTTCTTGGCGAAGACCACGGTCATCATGAAGAGGAGCAGGACCACCAGGGCGGCCGACCCCACCGCCACGCACATCACCTGGAAGTCGGTCACGATGGACTCGCACCTGAGACCCTTGTGCCAGATGTAGTCCTGGGTGTTGCACCTGCAGGGGGGGGGGGCGGGAAAAAAGAGGGACCCGAGGTCTGTGACCGATCCCGCGCAATCCCCCCCGTCCCCGTCCCCGTCCCGGCTCCCTTCCGCACGGCTACGAAGCCTCCTCCTGCAGGGCGGGGCGCAGTCTATCTGAAGCCACCTGGAGCTAAGGATGGAGCTTCCGGACGGCGAGGACAGGTCACCGGCGGGACTACCCGCCTCCAGAAGCGGGGAAGGCTCCAACGCGGGAGGTTTTGAAGGAGAGACTGGGTGGCCGTTCGTCCCAAATGGGATAGGGTGCCCGGCCTGAGCAGCGGGTTGGGCTGGATGACCTCCGAGGTCCCTTCCAACTTTATTATTGTTGTTGTTGTTGTTTCCTGCCTGACCAGGGGGTTGGACTAGATGACCTCCAAAGTCCCTTCTATCTTTATTATTATGATTATTATGATTATTAATTATTATTATTATTACATTTCCTGTCTGAGCAGGGGGTTGGACTAGATGACCTCCAAGGTCCCTTCCAACTTTATTATTATTGTTGTTATTGTTGTTGTTTCCTACCTGAGCAGGGGGTTGGACTAGATGACCTCCAATGTCCCTTCCAACTTTATTATTATGATTATTATGATTACTAATTATTATTATTATTTCCTGTCTGAGCAGGGGATTGGACTAGATGACTTTCAAGGTTCCTTTCTAATTTTATTATTATTATTATTATTATTATTATTATTATTATTATTATTATTATTATTATGTTTCCTGCCTGAGCAGGGGGTTGGACTAGATGACCTCCAAGATCCCTTCCAACATTATTATTATTATTATTATTATTATTATTATTATTATTATTATTATTATTATTATTATTACTATGTTTCCTGCCTGAGCAGGGGGTTGGACTCAATGACCCCCAAGGTCCCTTCCAACTTTATTATTATTACGACTACTACCACTACTACTACTACTACTACTACTACTACTACTACTACTACTACTACTACTATTATTATTATTGATACCCTGGGGGATGGATTTGAAGTTTTTCCAATGCCAGCTTAAAACCGAGCTAAGTCTGGTAGTGCCGTTGGCAATTAAGTTGGGTTAAGAATTTAAATTTGGTGAAGTTAGGTTAAGTTAAAAATGAAATGAATTCAATTAAACGAAGTTGTGAAGTTCCGACGTCCAGCAAAAAGATTAAATTAAATTAACGGAAGGTAAGTCACGTTAAGTTAAAAAATAAAGGATTAAATTAAATTGCTAAGTTGTTAAGTTAAAAATTAAATTAAGTTCAGTTAGAAATTCAGTTAAATTAAATGAGAAATCATGGGAAATTAAATTCAGTGACTAAGTTGTTAAGTTAAAAATTAAATTAAATTAATTTCGGTTAGAAATTAAATTAAATTAGTTAAGTTGTGAAGTTAAAAATTAAATTAATGTAATTTCAGGTTCAATTGAAATTATTAAATTAAATTAAATTATATCAAATGTTTAAGGTATGTTAAGTTAAAAATTAAATTAATTTAATTCCAGTTAAATAAATTAAATTAAAGTAAATTAGTTAAGTCATGTGAAGTTAAAAATTAAATTAATTTCAGTTATGTTCAGTTAAAAATTATTAAATTAAATTAAATCAAATCAAATCAAAATCAAATTGTTAAGGTATGTTAACAAACATTAAATGTATTTAATTCCAGTTAAATTAAATTAAATTAAATTAAAGTCATGTGAAGTTAAAAATTAAATTAATTTCAGTTACGTTCAATTAAAAATTATTAAATCAAATTAAATTAAATCAAATCAAACACGTGAAACACCAGGCGAAAGTCTCTTTTTTTTCAGCGCCGTTAGAGGTTCTAACAGTCACTAAGCGAATCGTCGTAAGTCGAGGACTTCCCATTATTAGACTTCTCTTGATTTTGGGGTTTTATGGAGTAACAGGACTCTCCTTGCTACAACGACATCAAGGGAAAAACTAACAGGCATTTTCCAGGTTATCCACAACACAGCACGATTTGAGACAGTCCTTGAGTTACGACGGTTCATTTAGTGACCGTTTGAAACTACAGTGGGATTTATGACTGTGTGTCGCCCTTATGACCTTTGCAGCCATCCCTAGGGTCATGGGATAAAAATTCAGACGCTGAGCAACCGACTCGTATTTACGACGGTCGCAGCATCCCGGGGTCACGTGATCAAAATTCGGAACTTCTAAATACTAAATATTTCATTCTTATATCTTCTTATATATGCTGCCCTTAGGCCCATTGTTACATAGGCAGTCCTGGGCTTCCGACCGCAACTGGATCCAACATTTCCGTCGCTAAGCGAGACATATGTTAAGTCTTGCATTATGCCCCCGTTCGCGATCCTCCTTCCCACCGGCGCTAAGAGAATCCGGCATCGCCGGTGGACTTTCCTTGGCAGAAGGTCGTTAAAAGGGGATGGCCAGGAGCCCGAGCCACTGCGACCGTCGTAAATGTGAGTCAGTGGCCGTGGGTCTGAATTTGGATCACGTGGCCATGGGAGATGCTGCGACGGTCGCCGCTGTGAACAACGGTCGCCAGTCACGTTTTTCAGGGCCGTGGTCATTGGAGCGGTCGCTAAACGAACCGTTGTAAGTCGAGGACTATCTGCGTAGGGTCTCCTGCTTGAGCAGGGGGCTGGACTGGATGACCTCCCAAGGTCCCTTCCAACTCTTTCCCATTCTGTAAGGGTCTATCTTTCCATGATTCTGTAAGGGGCTCCTACTTGAGCAGGGGGCTGGACTAGATGACCTCCAAGGTCCCTTTTTTTATTCTACGATTCTGTAGGTAGGGTCTCCTGCTGGAGCAGGGGGCTGGACTAGAGGACCTTTGTGGTCCCTTCCAACTCTGTTCATCCATGATTCTGTCAGGGTCTCCTGCTGGAGCAGGGGGTTGGACTGGATGACCTCCAGGGTCCCTTCTTTTATTCTACCATTCTGTAGGCAGGGTCTCCTGCTGGAGCAGGGGGCTGGACTGGATGACCCCCCAAGGTCCTTTCCAACTCTTGTTATTCTGTAAAGGTCTATCCTTCTATGATTCTGTAAGGGTCTCCTTGCTTGAGCAGGGGGTTGGACTAGATGACCTCTAACGTCCTTTCCAACCCATTCTGTAATTCTGTAAATCGAGCAGAGGGTCGGACTAGATGACCTCCGAGGTCCCTTCCGACTCTGTCATTCCGTGATTCTGTCCAGGTCTCCTGCTCGGGCAGGGGGTTGGACTGGATGACCTCCAGGGTCCCTTCCAACTCTGTTATTCTATGATAACAGTCTCCTGCCTGAGTAGGGGGTTGGACTAGATGACCTCCAAGACCCCTTCCAACTCTGTTATCCTATGATTCTGGAAGGGTCTCTCCTGCTCAAACAAGAGGTTGGACTAGATGACCTCCGAGGTCTCTTCCTACCCAGTTATTCCATGATTCTGGAAGGGTCTCCTGCCTGAGTAGGGGGTTGGACTGGATGACCTCCAGGGTCCCTTCCAACTCTGTGCTTCTATGTCCTATCTACCTAGCTAAGGAGGGACCGCTCCCTGGAGCCTAGGGGACTCCCTGCCACCAGATCTGCAAAGTCCACAGCCCGAGACGGCGTCGGGGAGACAGCGAGGGACCCCCCCCTCACCACTGACTTGCTCTGTTGGCCCACCCAACCTCCACAGACTACAAAGCTCATTGTCCCCAGCTTGAGGATTTGGTGATCTGGTGATCGGCTCGACGTCCAATCCGATTAACGGCTTGGGAGGGGTGAGGGAGGGGGCGCGGGGGAGGGTGGCTTTGACCTAATTCCGGCGGGAATTAGGGGGGTGGGTGTCCAGGGGACTCCGAACACCATCTGCCTGCTCCTGGGAAAAAAGGGGGGGGGAGTCTTCCCCATCTGTGGAATTCACACTCGCCACACCAGATAGGGGTCTGAAAAGAAGATGGCGCCCGTGCCCAGAGCTTGGAGGACGCCCTAAAGGTAGTCCTCGGACTTACGACGGTCCAGTTAGTGTCCAAGTGACAAAGGCCCTGAAAAAGAGGGACTCAGGACCCGTTTTTGCCCTGACGACCGTCGCAGCCCCATCCCTAAGGTCAGGTCATCGAAATTGAGATGCTTGGCAACCGACTCGTACTTACGACGGTCGTCATCTCCCGGGGGCTGAGGTGATCGACAATCAGTCGCTCGACAACCGATTCGTACTTACGACGGTTGCAATGTCCCGGGGCTGACGGCATTGAAATTAGAGTCACTCGACACCGACTCGTACTTATGACGGCCGGGGAGTCACGTGATTCCCTTTAGCGACCGATGTGCAAAGTTGGTTCCACTTACCGACCGGGGCAACCGACATTATCAAGGGCAGCGATTCACTTACCAACCGGGACGAGGACGGTTTGGTGAAACCCGGGCAAAACTCCCCCTTAGGAATGTCTCACTTAATGACTGAAATGTGGGGCCGACGTGGTCGTAAGTCGAGGACTGCCTGTATTGACTTTAGATTTGGGGTGGGGGGTTCAAAATTCTCTCCCCCCCCTCCGCAAGAATGACAAGCAGACCTTTATTACCGTCTTCCTTCTGGATGGGTTGGCCTACAACTCCCATCGTCCCCTGCCAGAAGGAAGATGGGGTCTGTAGTCCCAAGCAGGGGGAAGTGTCTGCCTTCAGGGCGTTGGTTGAAGTAGTCCTTGGTTCTTTTAACGACCGTTCGACATTACAACGGCACTGAAAAACCCGTCTCGCTTAGTGACATGTCTAGAGTGAGGAATTGAACCTCTGAAATGGCTCAAAGATGGCCGCCATCTTTGCCCTGGTCTCGGGTTCGAGGGTCTACGTTTTCTGAGGGGAGGGGGTCTTTAAATCCCCCCCTCCTTAATTCTCTTCTTTTGATTGCGCTCAGTCAGCAATAAAAAAAACCCGCCACAAAGAAAAGCGGCTCATTTGTATATGAGGAAGATGAACCCCTGAGCATGTGCAGAGCGCTCTGGAGGAGGGGGCGGGTGCCCCTCAGCCCAAAGGACCCCTCTTATCCCGGGGCCCATCCTGCCCTTCCAGGAGGGTCTCTGTTGACCCCCCTTCTCTTTCTTTCTTTCTTTCTTTCTTTCTTTCTTTCTTTCTTTCTTTCTTTCTTTCTCTCTCTCTCTCTCTCTCTCTCTCTCTCTCTCTCTCTCTTTTTAACAGGACAAAATGGGAGAATTGGAAGGGACCTGCGAGGTCTTCTAGTCCAACCCCTTGGGACCCTAGCCCATTTCTCTTTCTCTCTCTCTTTTTCACATTCTCTCTTTCTCTTTCTGCTTTTCTCTCTCTTTCTCTTTCTCTTTCTTACTCTCTCCCTCTCCTTCTCTTTCTTCTTCTTCTCTCCCTCCTTTCTTGCTCTCCCTTTCTCTTTCTCTCTTTTTCTCTTTCCCTCTCTCCTCCCCTTCTCTTTTTTCTTTCTCTCTCTAATTCTCCCTCTCTCTCATTCTGTTTTTGCTGATTTTCTGCTTCTCTCTCTCCTTCTGTTTCTCGTTCTTTCTCTCTCCCTCTTTCTGTTTCTGTGTCTTTCTCTCTCTCCTTTCTCCCTATCTCTCCCTTCTCTTTTTCTCGCCTTCCTTTTCTCTCCTCCTTTCTTTCTTTCTTTCTTCTTTTTTTCTTTCTTTCTTTCCTTTCTTTTCCTTCCTCTTTTTTCTTTCCTCTCTTACTTTCCTTTCCTTTCTTTCTTTCTTTCTTTCTTTCTTTCTTTCTTTCCTTTCTTCTTTCTTTCTTTCTTTCTTTCTTTCTTTCTTTCTTTCTTCTCTTCCTTTCCTTTCCTTCCTCTTTCTTTCTTTTTTCTTTCTTCCTTGGGTGAGGGGGGATTGGACTAGATGACCTCCAAGGTCCCTTCCAACTCTGTTACTTTATGATTCTGTGAGGGTCCCCTGCTTGAGCAGGGGGTTGGACTTGATGATCTCCCAGGGTCCCTTCCAATATGATTCTGTAAGGATCTCCTGCTGGAGCAGGGGGTTGGACTAGATGACCTCCCAGGATCCCTTCCCATATGATTCGGTAAGGATCTCCTGCTGGAGCAGGGGGTTGGACTAGATGATCTCCAAGGTCCCTTCCAATATGATTCTATAAGGATCTCCTGCTCGAGCAGGGGGTTGGACCCTTCCCATATGATTCTGTACGGATCTCCTGTTCGAGCAGGGGGTTGGACTAGATGACCTCCAAGGTCCCTTCCCATATGATTCTGTAAGGATCTCCTGCTCGAGCAGGGGGTTGGGCTGGATGACCTCCCAGGGTCCCTTCCCATATGATTCTGTAAGGATCTCCTGCTTGAGCAAGGGATTGGGCTAGATGACCTCCGAGGTCCCTTCCAACTCTGTCCTTCCATGATTCTGTAAGGTTGAGCAAGGGGTTGGGCTAGATGACCTCCAAGGTCCCCTCCCATATGATTCTGTAAGGATCTCCTGCTCGAGCAGGGGGTTGGGCTGGATGACCTCCCAGGGTCCCTTCCCATCTGATTCTGTAAGGCTCTCCTGCTCCAGCAGGGGGTTGGACTGGATGACCTCCAAGCTCCCTTCCAAGACTGTCCCTGACCTGACGTTGCTAAGACACCCCACCTAGCTTCTCCGGCTTCAAGGGGGGAGGGGAAGCCCTCCGTGACACAACCCCCCCCCCGAAAAAAATCTTCCCCTCCCAAAATCCGGGGACCCCCCCCAAAAAAAGCCTCTCTCCTGCACCCCCTCCCCACGGCCCCCTCACCTGCAGAAGGCGCCCAGGCTCTCCACCAGGTAACACTGCCCCCCGTTGTGGCAGTAGCTCGGGAAGGTGTCGCAGACCGACTTGCAGGTGTGGTTGTGACGGGCGTAGCCCTGGCGGCACTCCGTGCTGTTCTCCGGGACGAAGGCGTCCGCCGAAGCCGGCCCGCGCGTGGCCCGCCCGACGCCCCCCGAGACGACGAAAGTCTGCGGCGGAGGGAGGAGGAAGCGGCGGGCGGTGGGCTCCACGCGGTGGATTTGGTGGGGTGGGGGCGGCGGGGGCGTGGGGGCCCGGGCTGCCGTCTTCTCGTCCTCCGCGACGCCAGCCGGCCCGCCTTCCTCCTCTTCTTCCTCATCCTCCTCTTCCTCCTCTTCCTCCTCCGGCTCCTCTTCCTCGTCGCCGTCGGTGTAGAAGGAGGTCGTGGGGTAGAAATCCGACTCGTCAAAGGGGCTGAATTCGTCGTAAAGGTCGCGGAACGGCCACGAGACCCCCTGGTCCACGGGGCTCTTCGGCTTGGTGGAGTCCACGCCGGCCCCCCTTCGGGCGCCGCCGTCGAAGAGGTCGTAGTAATCGACGTCGACGATCTCCGAGGCCGGCGGATCGGCGGAGGGCTTCGGGGTCGGCGTGGGCTTCAAGACCGGGGGTGCCACGGATCCGGGATCCTCCGTCTCTGGGAGTCGCACGGTCGGACGGCTGGAGAGAACCCCCCACGCGTCGCCCTGCTGCGGGACGTGCGGCCTCTCGGCCACGCTGGTGGATCGCGTGGGGTCGAGGAGCAGGTCGCCCTCGTGGCGGGCGAGCGGGCGATTCTGGGGGTCGACACCCCGCGGGGGCAGCGCCGCCGTGGCCCAGCCGGGGCTGGGGGGCGTCTTGGCGTGGGGGTCTCCGCTGCCCGCCTCTTCCTGGCTGCCCGGCCCGCCTTTGCCACGGTCGAACAGCCGCCAGGCGCCGTCCTCCGCCCGGCTAGGGGGTGCCACGCGTGGGGCAGCTGAGGCGGCGTCGCTGCCGGGCTCCGGGTGCGAATCCCTCCACGCCACCTCCCGGGCCGTCCGCCGGGAGAGAACCGGCCCGCTTTGCTCTTCGCCGGCGGGTGGGCGGCCACGGGTGGGAGGCACCAGCTGGGACGGTCCTCCCGTGGAGACGTTGCCCTCCGGGGCGGGGGTGTCCCTGTGGGCTGCCGTACGCGCTTTCGTGGCGGCCTGGCTGCTGGGCAGAGGGGTGCCTTGGCTGCTCCTCCAGAGGGGCCCCCCGAACCTGGGGTCCCCCGGGAAACTCGGACGGGGCTCGGAGGCTGCAGAGGAAGGAAAGCGGATACGTCGGAAGGCGCCACGTCGCGTGGTTTCTCCCCATGACACGTCCCAGCTCCGAGGCCTTCTTGAGCTACACACAGAGACCCAGGCCTCTACCACTCCTCTCCCCCCCCCCGGGAACCCCAATGGGCTTTCCCAAGAAGAGAGAGGTGGGGGCATAAAACCCCGCCTCCTCTCCAGCCCCCCACCACGCCCGTGCATGGCGCCCATCGTGGCAGCCGGTTCCCGCACAGCCTGATTCACCCTTTTGATCCTCTCGCCTCCCTTTGGAGCATAGTAAAGGGGGGTGAATTCCCAGGGGGTGTGGCTGGGAGGGAGGGAGGAATGAAGGAAGGAAAGAAGGGAGGGAGGGAGGGAAAGAAGGAAGGAAGGAGAGAAGGAAGGAAGGAAAGAAAGAAGGAAGGGAGAGAGGGAGGAAGGGAGGAAGGAAAGAAGGGAGGGAGCGAGGGAAAAAGGAAGGAAGGAGAGAATGAAGAAAGGAAAGAAAGAAGGAAGGGAGGGAGAGAGGGAGGGAGGGAGGAAGGAAAGAAGGGAGGGAGCGAGGGAAAGAAGGAAGGAAGGAAGGAAGGAGAGAATGAAGGAAGGAAAGAAAGAAGGAAGGGAGGGAGAGAGGGAGGGAGGGAGGAAGGAAAGAAGGGAGGGAGTGAGGGAAAGAAGGAAGGAAAGAAGGAAGGAAGGAGAGAATGAAGGAATGAAAGAAAGAAGGAAGGGAGGGAGAGAGAGAGAGAGGAAGGGAGGGAAGGAGGAAGGAAAGAAGGGAGAGGGAGGGAGGGAGGGAGGGAGGAAGCAGTGAGAGAGGGAGGAAGGAGAAAGGAATGAATGAATGAAGGAAGGAAGGAAGGAAGGAAGGAAGGAAGGAAAGAAGGTAGGGAGCGAGGGAAAGGAAGGGAAGGAGAGAAGGAAGGGAAAGAAAGAAGGAAGGGAGGGAAAGAAAGAAGGAAGGGAGGGAGAGAGGAAGGGAGGGAGGGAGGAAAGAAAGAAGGAAGGGACAGAGGGAGAGAGGGAGGGAGGAAGGAGAGAGGAAGGAAGGAAGGAAGGGGGAAGTAAATGGAAAAGGGAGGAAGAAGGAAAGAAGAAAGGGAGGCAGAAGAAAGAAAGAAAGGAAGGAAAGAGGGAAATAAATGGAAGAGAAGGAGGGAGGGAGAAAGGAAGGAAGGAAATGGAAGAGGACATGGGAGGGAGGGAGGAAAGGAAGGTGGCTATGAGGAAGGAAAGGGAAGATGAGAGGAAGTTTGGTTGGGAAAGTAAGGAAGGAAGGAAGGAAGGGAGGGAGGAAGGAAGGAAGAAAGGATGAAAGGAAGGAAATGGAAGAGGACAAGGGAGGGAGGAAGGAAATAAGGGGACATGGGAGGGAGGGAGGAAAGGAAGGTGGCTAGGAGGAAGGAAAGAGGGAAGGGAAGAGGAAGTGTGGTTGGGAAAGTAAGGAAGGAGGGAAGGAAGGCGGGAAGGATGGAGGGGAGAAAATGAAAGAGAGGACAGGCAAGGGAGGGAGGGAGGGAGGCGGGGGAAAGGAGGAAAAGAAGAAGGGATGAGGGAGGGAAGGAAGGTGGCCAGGAGGAAAGAAGGAAAGAGAGAGGGAGGGAGGGAAGGATGGAAGAGGGGAGAGGAGGGAGGAAGGAGGGAGGAAGGTGGAAGAGGGGATAGGGAAGGGAGGGGAAAGGAGAAAAAGGAGGGAAATGGAAGGAGGGAGGAAGCCGGGAAGAAGGAAGGAAGGAAGGAAGCAAGGAAGGAAGGAAGGAAGGCGGGAGGGAGGAAAAACGAAGGGAGGAAAACGGAAGAGCAGAGAGGACAGGGAAGGGAGGAAGGAAGGAGGTGAAGGAAGGAAAGAAGCCAAGTGAGGAGGAAAGGGAGATGGAAGGATGAAGGAAAAAGGAAGGAGGGAAAGAGAGAGAGAGAGAGAAAGGCGGCGAGGAAGAAAGAGAGGAGGGAGGAAAAAAGAGGAAGAGAGGGAAGGCGGGAGGAAGACGGGAAGAGGGGCGGAAGGGAAGGCGGCGGGAAGGAAACGGGGAAAAAAGATGAGCGGGGGGGGGGGGAGAGAAGAAGGGAAGGAGGGAAAGAAGAGAGGAAGGGCGGGCAGGAAAAGCCACGGAAGGGAAGGAAGGGACGAACGAAAAAACGAGAGGAAGAAGAGGGGGGAAAAAGGAGGGAGGGGCAAGCCCGGAGAACCGCGCCCCCTCCCCACGTTTCGGGCTTGGGGGGGGCGTCTCCTCCCTACTGCCAGAAAGACCCCCCCGGGGGTCTTTTTTCACCCCAAAAGGCAGGCCACGCTTGGCAAAGACCCCCCCCACACACACACACAAAGGGGGGGGAGAAGGAAAAGTGTGTGTGTGTGTGTGTCTGTGTGTGTGTGTCTGTGTGTGATAGGGCGGGGCGGGCTGGGAAAAACGTTCTGCACATGGCCAGGGACCCGTTCCCCCATTCCTTAGGGGTGGGTGGGTGGGGGTGGGGACCCCCCCTCCCCACCAACCCCTCCCCCACCCCAACCCTCGGTGGGTTAAACCAGCTGGGCTGGGGAGCATGGGCTTTGGAGAAAGAGCGGGCTGGGGAGCGGTGCGGGGGGGGGAGAAGGGCGAGACGACCCCCCCCACGCAAACACACCCCCCCCGGGTTTGCTTCCAGGGCAAAACGAGACGCCCCCCCTTCTCCCCTCCAGCCTTTCCACCCGCGGCTGATTGACAGCTGGGGGGACACGTCCCCCCCGCGATCCAGAGGACCCCCCCTCCCCAAGATCGGCACAGCGGCCCCCCCTTTTTTCCCCCCCTCCCAGGTTTGAATTGGGTCTGGGGGGGGAGGACAGGGGAGGGGTCGTGCCGCGATTTCCCCCCCGCGACGCCCCCTCCCTCTTAAAAAGGAGCGCCCCGTGATGGGTGGGTGGGTGGGGGCGCACGTCTGGATGGGGGGACACGTGTCTGGGCTGGCAACCCCCCCCGACGCCCCCTCCCTGCTCTCCCGACCCCCCCCCCCAAGCCCAGAGGTCCCACCCCACACACACACACACACACACACACACACACACAGGACCCCAGCCCGCATTGAGGCTGAAGCCCCCTCCCCATCTCCTTGGCCTGGCCCTCCCCAATTTGGGGAAGGGTCTTCGGGACACCCCCCCTCCCCACCTGCCCCACCTACCCGCCAGCAGCAGCGCCAGGAGGGCCAGCCGGGGGGCGGCGGGGGGCGCCCCCATCATCCACAGCCGGGCCCCCCCGGGACCCACCGACCGCGCCCCCAGCCCCCCCAAGCCGCCTGCCTGCCCCCTGCCCCCCCCCCAGCCGCCTGGATCAGCGCCGCCGCCGCCGCCCCATCATCCGCGGCCGCCTCGCCTCCAGCTCCGGCGCTCGAGTGTTGCCAGCCGCCCGACAGAACTGCGGGGGGGGGAGGAGAGGAGGAGGAGGGGCGGGGAGGGGGCGGCGCTTGGGGAAGGGGAGGGGGAGGAGAAAGGGGAGGGGAGGGGGGGAGAGATTGAGAGAGAGAGAGAGAGAGAGAGAGAGAGAGAGAGACCCCCGCAGTGGCTGGAGTAGCAGCAGCAGCAGCAGCAGCCCCACCCATGCCCATCATCCCCGGCCAGCAGGAGAATAGAATAGAATAGAATAATAGCATAGAAAAGAACAGAGTATAGAATATAGTAGAATATACAGGATAGGATAGGATAGGAAATAAAATAGAATGCAGAATGGAATGGAATGGAATAGAACAGAACAGAATAGAATAAAATAATAGTATAGAACAGAACAGAGTATAGAATATAGGATAGGATAGGATAGGAAATAGAATGGAATGGAATGAAATAGAATAGAATGGAATAGAATAGAATGGAATGGAATACAATGGAATGGAATAAAATAGAATAGTAGAATAGAAAATATGGAATAGAATAGAAGAATAGTATAGAACAGAACAGAGTATAGAATATAGTAGAATATACGATAGGAGAACATAGGATAGGATAGGATAGGATGGGAAATAGAATAGAATGCAGAATGGAATGGAATGGAATGGAATAGAATAGAATGGAATAGAATAGAATATAGGATAGCATAGGATAGGATGGGATAAGATAGGAAATAGAATAGAATGGAATGGAATGGAATGGAATAATAGTATAGAACAGAACATAGAATAGAGTAGAATATAGGATAGGATAGGATAGAATATAGAATAGAATAGAATAGAATAGAAAATATGGAATAGAATAGAATAGAATAATAGTATAGAACAGAACAGAGTATAGAATATAGTAGAATATAAGATAAGAAAGGATAGGATAGGATGGGAAATAGAATAGAATGCAGAGTGGAATGGAATAGAATAGAATAATAGTATAGAACAGAACATAGAATAGAGTAGAATATAGCATAGGATAGGATAGGATAGAATGTAGAATATTTTGGGAGTGGAATTCTTATTCAATAGAATAAGAAATAGAGTAAGAAAGAAATAGAAATAGAAATAGAATAGAATAGAATAACGGAAAAGAATAGAATAGAATAGAAGCTGGAAGGGACCTTGGAGGTCATCTAGTCCAGCCCACTGCTCGAGCAGGAGAACCTATACCATCTCAGACAAGCGCATATGATTGATCGGCTTCGGAGTCCTTCGCCTTGGGCAGGGGGCTGGCACTGCAGTGCCTTCCCGGCTGAAGGGGTGGAGGGGGGGGAGACAGAGCAAACCACCCTGGGGAACAGCAGAGGCGATGTGAACCGCTTGATTTGGGGTGGGGTGGGGGTTCAGGAGGGACCCCCCCCCAACCAAACTCAACCAATCCCACAGGGATCGATCCAAAGACAGGGATCTCCAGTCCAAGAATTCAAGGCCGGGATTCTTCGGGCTGCGGAAGGGTGTGGGAGGCGACCATGCAAGAGTAGTAGTCTTGCTTCTGGGGGGGGGGCTTGCAGTCCCCCCCCATGTCCGGCCTGGGTGGATCCGTGGGCAGATTGCGGCTGGGGACTTGGTTAGGCCTTCAGCCTTTCAGCTTGTTGTCTGGGGTCGAACTTGGTCGCTTGTGACATCCTGTAAATCTGAGTGGACTTCAACTCCCAGAATCCCCCAGCCAGAATGATTTAAGGAGGGGGGGTGGACCAACTCCCAGATAAGAGGGCTGACTTTGATCCCAGAATCCCCCACCCGGCATGCTTTAAGAGGGGGGGACTCCCAGAATCCCTCAGCCGGCCTGCTTTAAGAGGGGGGGGACTTTTACTCCCAGAATGCCCCAGCCAGCCTGCTTTAAGAGGGGGGGACTTCCACTCCCAGAATCCCTCAGCCGGCCTGCTTTAAGAGGGGGGGACTTCCACCCCCAGAATCCCCCACCCGGCCTGCTTTAAGAGGGGAGAACTTCCACTCCCAGAATCCCCCAGTGATCCTGCTTTAAAGGGGGGGAACTTCCACTCCCAGAATCCCCCAGCCGGCCTGCTTTAAGAGGGGAGGACTTCCACTCCCAGAATCCCCCAACCGGCCTGCTTTAAAAGGGGGGGACTTCCACTCCCAGAATCCCCCAGCGATCCTGCTTTAAGAGGGGGGGAACTTCCACTCCCAGAATCCCCCAGCCGGCCTGCTTTAAGAGGGGGGGACTTCCACTCCCAGAATCCCCCAGCCGGCCTGCTTTAAGAGGGGGGGACTTCCACTCCCAGAATCCCCCAGCCGGCCTGCTTTAAGAGGGGAGGACTTCCAATCCCAGAATCCCCCAGTGATCCTGCTTTAAGAAGGGAGGACTTCCACTCCCAGAATCCCCCAGCCGGCCTGCTTTAAGAGGGGGGGACTTCCACTCCCAGAATCCCCCAGCCGGCATGCTTTAAGAGGGGGGGGACTTCCACTCCCAGAATCCCCCAGCCGGCCTGCTTTAAGAGAGAAGCTTTCTTGCAACAAACTGTGGTTATATCAAGAGATATTTGTAACTCCTGCAGCTGAAGTAGCCTGGAGTTCTATGGAGCCCCCCAGATCTTGGGGTTCTTTAAAGCAACCCGCAGAGAAGATGGTTCCAGGTCTGGTCCTTGCTTGCTTGGGGCAAGACCCTGGGGGCTTCTGGGAAGGGGGGGGGCTTTCCTAGCCAGGATTGGTTGTTCGTTTGTGGGCAGCCATTGACTTTGGGGGGGGGGGATTCTGGAAAGGGGGGGGTACCCTTTCCTAGCCAGCTTCTCGGATCCAGATCAGATCCTGTTTGATCAGGGAGATCGACCCCTTCTTGAATTCAGCCCAGAAGAACTGGATCGATCGTGGAAGGAGTCCCATCAGGAATCAAGAGGATCCCAGGGATCATTCTGCCTCCTTCGGGTGATCTTCATCAAATGCTGGTCAGGTTTGGCTTAGCTGAGGAAGCAAACCGGGTTTTCGCTAGACTCGGTGGCATTGGAGGCCCAGGCCTGTTTTGCATCAGTCCATTGCACAAAAATGGACTTGGAACACACACACACAACACACACACATACACACACACACAGTAGATGAGCATACACCTGCAGCATCTCCTGACAGCCCTGCTGGCTGAGGACGCTGGGAGTTGTAGTGCCAGGGCATCTGGATGGGGAAGGCTGAAAGAGAAGGGGGGGGGAGAAAAACCCGGAGACCCGGATTGGTGGGAAGAAGGATGGGATTTGGTGTTGGTTAAGCTAAAAAGCGCCAATCGGCTTGTGTGCGGTTTCAGTTGTGGAGTTGGAATGCAAAAATGCAAAAAAAAAAAAAAAAAAAAAAGTCTGCATTTTGGGCGGTTGTTTTTTTCTTCTTCTCATTAAAAAAGGACATTGGGTTTTAAAATGATTGTTTTTCTTTCCAATGCAAAAAAAAAAAAAAAGGAAATTGAGTTAAATTAAGGTTTTTTGTGGCTGAAGGCAACAAAAAAAGGGAAATTGTGTGGGTTAAAATTGAGTTTTTGTGGCTTAATGCAAAAAAAAAAGGAAATTGAGTTAAATTATGGTTTTTTTGTGGCTTAATGCAAAAAAAAGGGAAATTGTGTGTGTTAAAACTGGGTTTTTGTGGTTTAACACAAAAAAAGGAAAATTTGTTTGTTAAACTGGATTTTTTGCGGCTTAATGCAAAAAAAGGAAATTGAGTTAAATTATGGTTTTTTTGTGGCTTAATGCAAAAAAAAGGGAAATTACTTGTGTTAAAACTGGGTTTTTTGTGGCTTAATGCAAAAAAAAAAGGAAATTGAATTAAATTATGGATTTTTTGTGGCTTAATGCAAAAAAAGGGAAATTGTGTGTGTTAAAACTGGGTTTTTGTGGTTTAACACAAAAAAAGGAAAATTTGTTTGTTAAACTGGATTTTTTGCAGCTTAATGCAAAAAAAGGAAATTGAGTTAAATTATGGGTTTTTTGTGGCTTAATGCAAAAAAAAAGGGAAATTGTGTGTGTTAAACTGGATTTTTTGCGGCTTAATGCAAAAAAAAAAAGAAAATTGAGTTAAATTATGGGTTTTTTGTGGCTAATGCAAAAAAAAGGGAAATTGTGTGTTAAAACTGGGTTTTTGTGGCTTAATGCAAAAAAAAGGAGATTGAGTTAAATTATGGATTTTTTGTGGCTTAACGCCAAAAAAGAGAAAATTGTGTTTGTTAAACTGGATTTTTTTGCAGCTTACTGCACAAAAAAGAAGAAATTCTGTATGTTAAAAACTAATTTTATTTTGTCGCCTAATGCGAAAAATGGAAATTGTGTGTCATACACTGGATTTTGTGCGGCATAATGCAAAACAAGGAAATTGTGTGTATCGAACTACGGGCTTCTTAATGCAAAAAGGCGAATAGGTGGTCCTTCCCTTACGACCACAAAGGAGCTCCCATTTTCTGTTGTTAAGTGAGACATTTCTTCCGTGAATTTTGCCCCATTTTACGACCTTGGTCGCCGTTAAGTGAATCAGTGCCGTCGTTAAATGTGACACGGTTGTTAAGCGAATCAGGCTCCCTCTGGTTGACCTTGCTCGTCCAAACGTCGCAAAAGGAGGATCAACGTGACCTCGGGACACTGCGACCGTCGTTAAGTATGAACCCAGGTGCCAAGCTTCTCAATTTTGATCACGAGGGTTCTGGGGAGGCTGCCAGCGTCGTAACTGTGAAAAACAGTTGTAAGTCCCCTTTTCCAGTGCCGTTGTAACTTGGAACGGTCACTAAGCAGAACGTCGTAAGTCGGGGACTTTGTGCAAGTAGTATATATCCCAGGAAAGAGACAGTTGCCTTCCAAGATTTTGGTTGTGAAGACCTTCTGTTTTGCGACTTTCCAACTGTCCCCCTCTGAAGGTCGCAAAAGTTAAGATTGGGGGATCCCCGCGACGTTGCGACCGTCATAAATATGAGTCAACTGTCAAACTTCTGAATTTTCATCACGTGATGCTGGGGACGCTGCCAAGGTGGTTAAGTGTGAAGAACAAAGTCCCTTTTTCCCCCAGTTGCCATGGTAACTTGGAACGGTCGCTAATCTATCTATCTATCTATCTATCTGTCTGTCTGTCTGTCTGTCTATCTATCTATCTTCCATCCATCTAATGTCCATTTTTCTTTCCTATCTATCTCCATCCCTCCATCATCTATTTTTTTTCTTTCCTATCTATCTCCATTTTTTTCTTTCCTATCTCCATTATTTTTTCTTTCTTTTTCTTTATCAATCTATATCCATTTTTCTTTTCTTTCTTTCCTATCTCTATCCATCCATTTTTTTCTTATCTCCATCCATCCAGCATTTTTTAATTTATCTATCTCCATTCATCATGTTTTCTTTCCTATCTCCATCCATCCAACATCTATTTTCTTTTTTTATCTATCTCCATTTTTTCTGTCTCTCTCTATATATATATATCCATCCATCATCTATTTTTTTTTCCTATCTTCATTTTCTTTCTTTCCTATCTATCTCCATTTTTTTCATCTTTCCTATCTTCATATCTATCTATCTATCTATCTATCCATCCACTCAAGCTATCTATCCATCCATCGTCTATCATTTCTCTATCGTCTATCATCTATCACCTGTCTATTTACCTACCTGCCTACCAACCTATCTGTCCATCCATCCATCCATCTATACCTCCATCCATCCATCATCTATTTTCTTTCTTATCTCCATCATCTATTTTTCTTTTTTCTTCTTTCCTATCTTCATCCATCATTATCTACCTATCTATCCATCCATTTTTTTTCTTTCCTATCTCCATTTTCTTTCCTCTCATTTTTTTCTTTCATCTTTCCTATCTTCATCCATATCTATCTATCTATCTATCTATCTATCTATCTATCCATCCATCCATCCATCCATCCATCCACTCAGGCTATCTATCCATCCATCCATCATCTTATCATTTCTCTATCGTCTATCAACTATCTATCATCTATCTATCTATCTATCACATGTCTACCTGCCTACCAACCTATCTGTCCATCATCTATTTTCTTTTTCTTACCTCCATCATCTATTTTTTGTCTTTCCTTTCCTATCTATCTCCATCCATCATTATCTATCTATCTATCTATCTATCTATCTATCTATCTATCTATCTATCTATCTATCTATCTATCTATCTATCTATCTATCTATCTATCTACCTATCTATCTAATATAGATGTATATAAAATATAAATAAAAACAATTTTCTACCATGACACAAGGGTCCCAAGTAGCCATCATTGCTTTTTACATCAAAGAGACCCTCCTTGGTGGGCACCAGGAGGCCGGGAAGGTCATCTATACGTGTTCCTTTCTCCCGATTTGTTTAAGGACTGGCTAGGCAGATCGTCGGATACGGTCAGGAAGGACGTTGAGCCAAGCAACTTGAAGGGACAGCCCACTATCCTGTTTCTAGAGAGCAGGGGGTCTGAATTCAGGCAGTCCTCAACTTACGACCACAATGTCCGTTGCTGAGCGCCACTCGGCGATTCACTTAACGAAGGCCGAGAAACATTTCCTAATCGAGTATCGCCCGATTGGATGACCTTCCCCGCCGCGGTCGTTAAGTGAATCCTCGCAGTGATTAACTTAGCCAGACGGTCGCTAAGTGAATCCGGCATCCTCGTTGTGCTGATGCGGGACGTTGCGACCGTCGTAAATGCGAGCTCGTTGCTGCCAAGGGTTCGAATTTGGATCCCGGGACCATCCCGGGGAGGGTGCGACGGTCGTTCAGGGTGAAAATGGTCGTCAAGTCCCGCTTTTTGGGTGCTATTTCGCAATTTCAGTCACTAAGCGGATGAGTTGTAAGTCGAGGACTCGGTGAATTTGGTATTTACGGTCTCTGTGCCTCCGTCTGTTGTTGAGGTGGGTGCTCACCCCTCCATTTTCCCCTTTCGATGCCGAATGCACACAAGAAACGGCTATGTTCACACCCCTTTTGTGTTCCTGTGAAGGACCGGGCCCAATCCACCGGGCATCCTTCCATGCAGGCAGGGCTGGATAGCCACAAGAGGGCCCCAACGGTGCATAACTGGAAGCATCTGAGCCCTTTGGTAACCTCCAGATTGATTCAATATAGGTAGTTTTGGACTAATAATAATAATAATAATGTTGGAAGGAACCTTGGAGGTCATCTAGTCCAACCCCCTGGAGTTTGTTTAGTGTTTAGAGTTTGTTTAATGACCATTCGGGTCACTGAAAAAAGTCACACTTACGACCGTCACAGCGTCCTCACGGTGACGTGATACAAATCCAGCCACTTGGCAACCGACTCAGATTTATGACGGTTGCAGTGTCCCGGGGGTTTAGTGAACATTCAGGTCACTGAAAAAAGTTCACACTTACGACCGTCACAGCGTCCTCGTGGTGACGTGATACAAATCCAGCCACTTGGCAACTGACTCAGATTTATGACGGTTGCAGTGTCCCGGGGGTCACGTGATCCCCTTTTGCCAACTTCAGACCAGCAAAAGTCAATGATGACCATGTGACTAACTTTAAGAACTGCCGCGATTCACTTAGCGGTGGCGAGAACGGTCGTAAAATGGGAGTCAAGCCGACTTCACAATTGTCTTGCCTAGCAACGGACATTTTGGGGGTGCATCTAAAACCAGCATTCCTAATTTTGGGCTGCTCAGTTGTGGTCGGTACGCCGAGGGGGCTACCCGCCTAACCCAGAAACGCAAGGACGACATGTTGAGTTGTTTAAAAAAACCCACATTATTTTTATTATTTTAAATGTCACAAAAATTGAGAAATTTGTGCTACAGGAATCAAAGTCCCCCCCCCACGCCACCCCCCAAAAAACGGAGCCGGAAAGAGAGAGAGAGAGAGAGAGAAAAAAAGACATCTCCCCTTTGTCACGCGTACCGAAACACCGTTGTGTTAATAATTCCTCACACATACGTAACGCAGCAGGATCCGGTCACTAGTCGAGTTAAAAAAAAAAAAAGGAAAGAGAGAGAAAGAAAAAGAGAGGAGAGAGAAAGAAAAAAGACTATTCTGTTTACAATCAAAATCTCGCTAAAAAAAAAAAAAAAGGACTCGGAGGCGATCCGTCAAAAAGGACCCAGGTTGAGAACCACAATTCCCATAGTGCTCCCAAGGTAAGGAAGGGGTGGGGTAGGGAGGGGACTCCTGGGAGACCCATGTTTGAAAAACCACAAT